TATTCACTATATATATATTATTTAATAAGTAAAACTAAGCTTAACTTTGAGTGAAAATTAATAAATAAGTCCAGGCATTGCTCAATGCGGCTGCAAATAACAAAGATTAAACGAAATCTCAATCTTTGACAAAGCAGGGCGGGCTGGCTTGAGGGGGGCGTGGCTGCTGCTGCTGCTGAGCTAACAAATCAACATGGTCATGAAATATTAATATTAATGCACAAATATTGAAAGAGAGTCTGCATGGGCGACTGGAGCAATGTGAGCTGGGGCAAGTTCCTAAAGGCGATTCGGAAATGCTCGTATACCTAAGTGAAATGCTAAAAGATTGATGACTCGGCAACTTTGTGTATGTGTGTGTGTGTGTGTGTGTGTGTGCTGGCTGGACACTCGTGTGTGCGTGTGCACGTTTATAAGAATTTATGGCAATGTGTGCGAGGGCAGCGCTGCGTATACGCAATATTTTTATTTATGTATTATGAATCAATGCGTGTAGCGTGCAAAGGCTTTGTGCACTGGCCATGGCTATGAATTTAGGGCAGGCAGCTTGTCAGCTTGGCATAAAAAAGTATATTTATACATATATATATATATATGGATGCACACTAAAACAAAAGGATAACAATAACTTTTGGGCAGGCGATGGCTGGGTGGGTGCAAACGCAATCTTTACGAAAGGTCTAACGTGGGGCGGATTATGCGTTTGCTGGGCGTTGGATTTTGGCTTATAAATAAGCTCACTTACAGCAAAGCATAGAGCGCGTCCATAAAAATTGCATGAAAACGACAATCATAGGCGGATGCTGGAGCATCTCAAACTGGGCCGCATAACTTGTTTTTGTTGTTTTTTTTTTTACGTAAAAAATTACACTATAACAATCAAGTTTACGAGGGCTATTTCAACGCATTGCCTGAGTGCCAAGTGTGTATGATGATGGCCGGGCAATGATCAGCCGTTTAGATGATGATGATGATGATGATGATGATTGCGTTGCCTCTTCCGGATATAAAATCAGCGAAAATGGCCTACAGTCTGTATGTGTGTGGCTGCGTGTGTGGACAACAAAATATTATAGATAGAAGTTTTCTTAGCTAGCTTGGCATGCCTGAGAGTGTTCAAGCAAGCAGTGACTACTGTCTGCATGGCTACCTATAGACTGACGTAGATGACTATCTTAGACAAGAAGAACTGTTTCTTAGTATATTTTAGTTGTAGTTTTTACATTCTGTATTCGTGAATTTTAAATACTTTAAGAACCTGAGTTTGGAAATTTTAAATAAATATATGAGAATAATTTCATATATTCATATATCCAGTATTGAATGCATTCATATTTAGACGAAGAAAGCACAAATTTCTTGAGTTGTAATTCTTTAAATTGTATTCATTTCATTCATTTTATATTAATATATATATAAATATTATTTTGTTCGACTCATATTACGATTTGGCTACTCTTTCAACTTCTTCATTTTGCTGAACATTTCAAGGAATATATATGTATTTAAAAACACATTGAGCCATGGATAGGGTGTTCAGAGTGTTTCTAAAGCTATTAGGACTTGATTATAGTATTTCTTATAGATTAAAGCATAGGTACAAAGAAGTATGGTTACTATCCAAATCGTTTTGCATGTAAAAAAAAGCTCACATTTAGAGGGGAGCATCTAGGTGCAGTATACCGGGTATTTGCTAGTCTGATACTGCCCAAAAGCGCACTAAGTCTTAAATGTTAGTTGATTTTGAGTAAACTAAACATAGTTATCGATTTCTTTATTTTGACTTATGTCATATGAAAAATCTTACTACAAATACATCATACATACACACATATATACATAGATATACACTGATAACTGCAAGTATTTGAAGCTCTGTTTTAGCTTCGATTAACACTTAAGCCTTCACTTCTCTCGTTATCCCCAAAGCCTTGCCTTTGCGACTTAGTGACGTCAGAGAGCTCAGAAAGCTACACATTGAACAGTTGGTTTTTGGCATCTTGACATTGATGATGCCCAGATTTGCTGCAGCTGTGGAGTGAAATGATTCTGCTGTTCGGGCGGCTATTACATTCTTTTCAGCTGTAAACTTTTGCTTACCCTACCAATTGCACTTTGTTCGCCTTTTATGCTCCCAACAACATTTCATGCTTTCTTTATGCATTCGCTCACAGCCAAACGCACTCTCAACACCCAACAACATGAGCAGCAAGCGAACATTTTGCGAGCTGCACTCAAATGCTTTTTTTTCATACTTCCCTCGACGTAAGTTCAGGCAGGCGGCAGTCAGGTAAAAACTGCTGCAGCTAAAAGGGTTGCCAACAACAACAACAACAATATTCAAAATGAAACTTTGAAAATCGACAAGCGGCGCTTTTGACTGCCGCTCAACTCTTTGCCTCTTGACGTCCCTCTCGCTCTCGCTCTCTCTCTCCCCCACAACCCCTGGCTCGCACTACTTAGTGTTTTTTTTTTCGTGAGCTTCGAGCCACTTTTTGCGCCACAAAACTTTACACTTTGACATGCAGCCACGTGTACGACTATGTTGTGAGTGCGAGAGTGAGTGTTTGTGAGTTGAATGCGCATTCGTTTGCGCTTTGCCTGACATTCGCTTTGAATGCAGCTGCCGAACTGGCAATAGCTGGGCTTTACCGTTGCCTAACAAACTAATGCCAAATGCCTCAAATGCGACGATTAAAATGATGTCACAAAGCTCTTTTATTTGTTGTTTTTGGCAAGAGTATTATTATAGTATTACGAAATATGTTATGCATAAAGGATTAGGGTTTTAGTTTCGTATATATTTATTTGAATATTGAATTTCATGGACTTGAGTGGGTCAGGTATCTCTGTGGTTTAAGAAACTAAAATATGGAGCATATAGAAATAGTTTCATCTATTAATCATTCTTATATTAATCAATTAACCTAATTTTAACCAACCTACATATAGAATATAGTTTATATACATTATTAATATTATTATTTTTTTTTAAATTTAATAGGCTTACTTTAATATAATAATTTTATATAAATTTCATACGAAATTTGTTAAGCAAGAAAACAAATAAATAAAAAAATGTTAAAAAACTGCCTGAAGTCAGTTAAGAAAATTCAAAAGTTATCTTAACGTTGTATGGCATAATAATCATTTGTTATTAATATATCTGGAATTAAATTTAGCAAAAGATGCACTCCCTTGGAAATTCTTTTTTAAGCTAATTTAAATAATAATAAATAATGCTAAAGGCAAAAATGAATATAAAAAGGAATAATAATACCCTTTAAAAATACACTTTAGTCCGTCATCTACCTTCATCCATTATTTAATGCATTGCATAATCATTAATTCCACTTTTACCTTTACATTCGAATGCTTATTAACAGCTCAATTTTTTTCGTCTAACGTATTCGATTTTCATTGTAAATGCAGGCTTTATACATTAAGCAGCTGGTCGGGGCTGCCATTAGGGCACAAATACAGTCCTATTCATCAACAAAGCTCTATCTCTCTCTCTTTTTTAACAAAGTAAACACACACGCACACACACACACGTTCTCATATGCAAAGCTTCACATAATGCACACACACGTGCGAACACTTGAAAATCTTTCAGCTCACATGAATATTTTAAAAACTCGCTCAGAACTTATTCAAATTATGATAATGATGGGAACGGCGAGTGCTTGGCAAATTGTGTGTGTGTGTGCTGGAGAGGGTTGAGGCTCTCACTTGCCACGCTTCTTCTCTCTCCACTCTCTTTGCATAAAGCGCTAACGAGCGCAGGTACTTGGGCGACCCAGGCACAAGTCCCAGTTCGCAATTCCCATCTAGTTCCCGTAATGCATTTCATTAATTTGTATACAATTCTCTTCTTTTTTTCTCTCTTCTTTTTGCGAATCATCTGAGAGATGTGTGTGTTGTGTGTGTGAGTGAGTGCGTGTGTGTGGCAGTTTATGAGCACTTTTTGTGAGTGGATCGCCATCGGCATCATTAGAAGTCACTTCACGACAAAAACTCTGCCCTCGAGAAGGAGTTGAGAGTGTCGTACTTGACTTTGAGCTTCTTAATTTCTACATTCAGAATTCTGTTCAGCTTGTGCTAAGCTGTTAAGCAAATATAGGAACAGATGGCAGTTTGAAATATTACTATAATGACAATTTAAATAAACAAGTAAATTTTATTGATAGATTTGCAAGCTGAAAGACTACTTAAACGTGACTATGGTGCACATTATTTATCTTAAAAGCAGCTTATTAGTTATGGAAATTTTCTATCATGCGAAGCAGACAGATTTTCGATTTACATATATTTTGAAGCTATTCATCAAGGAAATATATTTTAACGCTTATAGGAAATTTAGAGGAAATTTGTTGGGAAATTTGCTCTTAAATTTTTAAAACACTTTGCCAAGAGTGAAACAGGACTTTTCTTAGATTTAATTAAACTATCTCTCAAATGGATGTTAAAAAAAAATAAAAAAAATACATATATAATTGCACTGTCAGAATCAATAATAAGCTATGTATTCAACATCATTACTTATTCTAGGAACAATTTTAGACATATAAATACAAAAAAAAAAAAAAATTCAGGATGAATTCCTACAAGGAGATGAATGTTCAATTGAAAAACACAACTCTTTCTCCAGAACAGATAGTGGACGATTCAATTGCGACTGGAACAGTAATTCTGCTCGTTATAGTGGCAATTTGTTGCTTCCTTGGCCTCTGTTGTCTGCCTTTCCTGATTGGCGTCTGCTGCGGACTCGGCTGCTGTACCACAGATGAGGCGTACAGACCATGATTATTTTGACTACTTATAAATGAACATTCAGCCACAGCCAACATAGTCGCTGCCACTTGCCGCAAGTAACTCCCACCAGATGTATTAGACTCTGTAAAGATATTTCATAGTGTAAAAGCTAAGTAGAGCTTTAAGTTTTAAAACTAATAAATCCTGCATTAATCTGAAATGTGTGATAGCTTCTTTTGCTATAATAAGCTAATGCCTGGGAGTGTTCGCCGAGCTGTCAGAGACGCCTTATGGCCATTGTTCCATTGTGGAATGCGACAAATGCCAAACATTTCGTTGATATTCTGCTTCTGGACGGAAAGTCGTAAATGCACTCAGCACTTTGTCAGCTCACAGACAGATGCGCGGATGCACAGCATCCATTCTCCTTTGGCCAGTTGCTGCAGCCTCAGCCATATACTTTGCTCCTTCACAGATGACGTGAGTTTTACATCTTTTGCCGTCTGTCTGCAAAAGCATAAGAAGTATCACTTTACTTCTGCCAGCCTGAGCTGATGTTTTCTTCGTTGTTGTTTTGTCTAAATTTCGTTGCTTCCATATTCAGTTTTATAATTTTTCTCACAAGTTTTTGTGGTGCATGAAAAAGTTTTCATTGCCACAGGAAAAACTTTTTTGTTTTTATATGCTTTGTCAGAGTTTTGCGAAGTGCATGTGCACTTACCGACTCTGTGGATATCCAGCTGAAGAAAGTATGTATATATAAATATTTAAATATATTATATGAATATGTAGTTTGATAAATGTTAAAAAGTTTTTTACAGTCTTAATAGCCACTACTATTTTTATGAAAAACTAATTTTTGCTTCTCAAGCTGAGGAGTTTACATGTTGCTAACAAAAAAAAAGACATCTAAATTAATGCAAAATATGTTAAATCCTAAAATTCATTTCAAATTATTTTCAAAATATTGTGTTTATCATTTAAATTCTATTGCCCAACATCAGTGCTCAGCCGCACTACTATTTTTATGAACAAGACTGCAATTATCTAAATGTTATATATATAGATATATATATATTTTTGTATATGTATATTTATATAATATATATTAACTGATCTATATGCTCTTCTTCTACACACATTTTGCAGCAACTCTGCTAGGACTTTTGTCAAATTCATTCAGATTCGTGCGTGATTATTGAGCCTTTGCCGCATTGATCGATTACCTGTCTTATCTTTGACTAGACAGGTAGATAATTGTTTTTGTTATCAAAACAGCAGTCGGCTTATTTTTATTTATATTTCTTATGATAATGTAAAATGTTTAAGACTTAAAAACTGTTGTTTATTCATTAAAAAATGTAAATTTTTTTATATATTTGAGTAAAGTCTAAGATAATCGTGCCTGAATATGCAGAATTTGATGTTGCGTTGGCCTCAATTTATATAGAGAAGCGATAGTTTTTGTAAATCCAGTTTACAAATGCTGGCTCTGATGATTGCACGACTAGCGCATACTCTGTAATATACAGCGCTGGCTCAGGAACGAAAACATTAATATATAATTTTTATTTGATACCATAAAGTTTTTTTTAGTTTATTATTATTAAAAGTTTATTATTATTAAAATTTAAATTATTTTAAATTTATTTTGTAATTTTTTATATTCATATTTCTTCTTAAAAATAATTAGAGCTTTACTAAGGCATCGAAAAGTTTGTGAAAATAAAATAATAAAAATAATTCTTTAAGCATTTAGTCAGTTCTAAAGCCATATAAAAGTTGACTTTAGTTTAATATATATAATTATATATATATATATATTTTTTTTTTTCTACTTTACAATTTTGTAGCTCAACCCAATATACCATTCAAGTACTTTTACAGGGTATAAAAAGTAATTTATTGCGCATTAATTTTTTTTTTTTTATAGATTTCATTATGAATACATTAGAAATGAAGCAGAAATAATGTGTTCGATGTCTTATGGCTAGAAATAATTTATTATATCTCATTCGGAAAAGTGCTTAACTGGTATTTACCTGGCTTAAGCTCGCTACCTGGCCAGCCAGCTAACGAATTCGCGAAATTTCTGCAGTTTTCTTTGTCCGCCACGGGTTGAAACCTGTTGCCACCGCTGCTCGACGATCAGACGCTCCTCCTCGTCCAAGGTGTTCATGTATCTCTTGAGCTTCTTGCCAAAGGACTTGAGCAACTGCGTCGATCGCATTTGGATCGTGCGCTTCCAGCGATCAAAGCCGGTGCGCTGCAGGCAGAGGGAAATCAATTGCACCTCAATGCTGGACGTCTTCTCGGCGGCATCGGCATCCAGATAGACGTTAACGATTTCATAGAAAAATTGCAGCGCCTCAGCCGTGTAGTTTCGCTCGTTTCTCAGGAACACCTCGAAGCTGTTCAGATAGCTGAGTATGATGGGATTCTGGGAGTCCAGCACGAGCAGATCATCGACGACGCTATCCACCAACTCTGTGGCATGCTCCATCGCACGCTTAGTTATGGTGGCCAAGTTGTGCTCCGCCTGGGCCGTCAGGCGGCTGCGGCCAAGATCTCCATAGCTAGCGACCGGACTGAGCTGTGGAGCAACAGCTGTCTATCAAATGCGGCAATTTGTGATCAAAACATTTGACGGCTTACCGGCGATAGCAGGAGAAGTAGCCAGCAGCAGGGAACGAGCTGCTTTGAGGTGTTCATGGTGACAGCTTGACAGTTGCTTGTCTACTGAACGTCTCCGTAACGAGCCTCGACTACATGGTCCGATAGCCTTATCATAGGCCTTTCCATGTTAGGGAATTGCCTACATATTGACACAACGATGAAATACGATCGACCATGACGAATTCATTGCGGCAGCTCTACTCGACTGCAGAGACTGATAATGTCAATTGATAAGCGCAAGTGTGAATTAAGATTGCAATTCGCTTGATTTGAATATTGAAGAGTAGATAAAGCAGAGTATGGAAAGTGAGTGAAAGGTGAGAGTTTAACTGGGGTATAATATGATAGTTATTTCATGTTAAAAAGAGAACTATATTTGCTATGGAAAGTATGCATTAGATAAATAAAATGTAACATTAAATTTTTAATTTGTTATTTTGCTCAATTTCAATTTTTAATATATGTTAAAAAGATATATATGTTTATTTATATGAAGACTGCAAACTTATAATCATACTTCTTTTAAAATTTATGTACCTATTTGTATTTATTAAAATACACAAAACTAAAGCCAAATGAAACCACTACTATTTTTATGAACAACATTATTTATGTTAATTTTTTTCAAGCAATTAAAAAAAATAAATCCCTATTTATAAAAAATATGTGAATGTTAATATTAGCTTCGAATAGTTTTCAATATATTGTAACTACCAATAAATTGTGTGTGTTCAGTATTTTTAGTGCTCAGTTGCACTACTATTTTTATGAACACAACTGTGCATTAAATTTACGTTATATCTACAGATTCTAGATATGTTCTATGACAGGGTATCACTATCGTTTGAAGATAAGCTGTAAAACAGAGTAAGCCTTCTGCGTAGGCATCCTCATTATGTAGAAATATGACTAGATGGACGGAAATACAAAGAAATTAGCACTTCTACTATTCGATTGCTGTTAAGTAAGAAATATTTGGAATATGTAAGCTTCAGCTCTTAACATGCCCCACATAATGCCCAATGCCCAATAAGTCACAGTCAGATATCAGCTTAGTGCATCAACAATGAACCTAATCATGAATATTATCTGAATGTCAAAGACTTAAGCTAGCAAAAACTCTATTTAGTTTGGGTAAAAATCATAATGCGAAACGTAGCTGACCTAAGCTTTAACTTAGGGCATGAAAAATTGATGTGGCGCATCTAATTCAAATAGCTCTAAAAAGGAAGCTGAAAAAATAAAAACTACTGAGTTGGGTGAGTGGAAATGGTTGCGGGTGCGGATAAAATTAATAATAGCCAAATAAAAGTTCCCAGTGTCATTCGAGTGGCAATGGAGCGAGCAGAGTGGGTGGGGTTATTGTGCCCGCCGGCGTGTGTGATAAACGTCGCTGTCGTATATGGGTCAGTGGCATATGATGAAACTTGGTGGCATCATCAACGTCGAGAATGGAGAATAAAAAGCGGAATTATTTGCCTTTTTGCACTGTCTGGCTTTTCAATGGCTGCAATTGAGAGTTTGGAGAGGCGGCAAATCCCAGCACTTGCCTAGAATTGCCCGCGTTTGGCTGCACTTAAAACTTTGATAAGCCAAGTTGGTTGCCATTGTTCTGGCAGACAAAAAAAGTAAAATCAGCAATCATCTGGCTGTAAATGAAATAGCTGCTGTGGTACTCATGTCGATAGAATTTTATTGATAACTAACTCTACTAACATCCATTGCTTTAACTAGTCTTGCGCGCACGCTCAGTGACTCTCTCTCTAATATTATGCTCGCGTGCACTTAAGCCTTTCTGCTTGCATTGAGTGAAATACAGCTGAGAACGGGAGTTGGCTCCTTCACTCTCACTTGTTTACTTATGCTTTCACATTACACACTCAGTTACTAAATCGTTCGCCTAGCTTGCACACACACTAATGCAGATGTGTCTAAAGTTAGCTCAGAGCATGGAAACTAATATTACTCTTGCACTCATTCTGCTTGCTCGAACATCGGCAACGAAATCGTTCGCCTTAGCTCACACTAATACACATTTACGCACTTCTCTCTAAGCACGCAACCAATAATATGCTTGCGTTGTATACCCAGTGTAGATCTGCTTGCATGTCACCAACAAAAACGTTTGCTTAGCCTGTAGTCACACTAATACATTTACTTACTTCGCTCAGAGCAACCAACTAATATTACTCTCTCCCTCTTTCCATCCTAGTTGCTTCAATATCACCGCTGAACTCGTTCGCCTCTACTCACACAAATGCACATTACACTTCTATTCTCACTGTTTGCACATTGCCAACGAAATGCTTCGCCTAGTCTCTACTCACACAAGTACACATTTATACACTTCGCTCAGAGCACGCAATTTACAGTGAACGAAGAGCAATTGAGTGGTTTTTGATTTTTTAAGCTCAGCGATTTGTAGAAATACTTACACACAGGGTTGACCATTAACAATCTGATCAGTCTTTATATCTTGCTTATATTTAAGAAAATATAATGTTACAATTTTAAAAATGTAATATTTCCAAGTGCAAAGTGCTTTATTTATTTGCCATTTAACAGCTAATAATCGGCATGTAATCAAGTATCTACTACTAAACAATTACGTCCACAGAGACGCATACACAAACGCATCGCATACAGAACTCTCAGTACTCCCACAACAGATTAATGCCAGAAATATATGGCTAAGCAATAAGCAACTCAAACCCTGTCAATCCCAGCGGTAGGGAAACTTGAGCTAAAGCGGCGGGCTCCAAGGAAGAAGCAGAAGAAACACAAGTGCTGTAAATTCTGTCCGGCCCCTTCCTAAACGTGTCTCCCATGCCACCCTTGGAGCCACTCTGCGCTCGCATGCAAATTTCAATAACTTATATTCGTAACCCTTCCGCCAACTGACACTGAATATCAAATATGAGGCAAGGCGCAGACGAAGTACAAAAATTATTTGCATACTTTCTGGGGATGCTTGGCGAAAAACAAAAAAAAAAACGAAGAAAAACTTCAACGAAACAAAGGCAGCAAAAAACAAGCAACAACAAAAATTTAACCAAACGGACGAAGTTCAAATACCCTTATAGACCAGCTATATATGATGTAAGCTTCTGACAATAAATGTTTGTTAATATTACATATATGGGTCTATTTCGTGAAACAGTTGAATATGAAATAATAATAATAAATAATATATATATAATAGGCAAAAATATAAAAATATATATGGCATATGGTATTTTAGTTCTTTCTGTAACTGTCATAAGAAATATAATTTTTACTTTAATGTTGAGATCATAACAAAGCAAAGAAAAATTTTATACTTAAGCATTTTTATACGTATTTACCTTGTAGGTTTGATATGAAATCTTTGTTCTTTTACTAAGTAAGGATAAAAAAATATATATATTGATTTATAGATACGTCTAAGCATATTATTATTATTTCTTGCTTAAACTGTACTCTTTTCTCATTTCTTCTCATCTCTTCTTCTACTTTTCTCTTCTTTCTGCTCTGTTCTCTTCTCTTCGCTACGCGTCTTGCGGTTCTGTTCACTACTATTCTATCCCTCTCTTCCTCTACTCTTCTCTTCCGTTTTCATTACATGAAATGGAAATAGAATATTTCTTTTCACCTTCTCCCCTTTTCACGTTCAACATTTAAGTCAAGATACCCTGCGCTAGAGCAACTTAAGCAGCTGGAGCCACATGTGGCGCACTTTTGGTTTAGTGTGAAAAAAAGCTAAAAACAAGCCGTTACATGCTTCCGGGTGGGTGCAAACAGAAGAGGAGACGCCACCACGTACCACCCTCTCCTCCCATCTCATTCTCGGCCGCCGTGTGGCAGTAACCACAGCACGCAAACGAAACGAAACGAAACGAGTTTATTTATTGCATTTGCAAATTTTACACAACATTTTGCAGTCGATGGTTTCGCTTCTGTGAAAGGTGTAACTCGAGTTTATCGCTGAAAAATATTCTCCCCACCTTTGGCAGAAATTGATTCGGTTTATGTATGTGGAAAGCAAACTTTGCGAGGCACTTGTAACATGAAGCGGCAAGTTCAATGAAGCCAAAGGTGTTTGCTTGTTACGCTGCCCCCAACTGCCAAAATTTACGTGTTGGCATTGGTGTTAGTGATTGCCAATGGGTTCTGGGCGGTTTGGGGACAGCTTGTGGGGGCTGAGTTGCAACCGTTTGCCAAGCAGCCAAATTGATGTGCAAATATTTCCATAAATTTATTTTCTATAGCGCCAAGTTTTGGGTGTCATGTTTGAAAACATACAAAAAATTTCCACAACTTATTTGAGCATCCCGACAAAAACTCTATTTCCCTCTCTCTCGCACTCTTCTGCCAACATGAGTTTGAAATTTGATTTTTGCAGCATGCGTAACTTTTTTGAGGGTTCGTTCAGTGTATTTCAAAAATGTGTTCATTTCCCTACAAATTTGCTATGCCATAAAAAAAGATGTGATCAATCTTGTATTATTTATATGGAAACAAATCAAAAAACATATATTAAAGTTTGGAGAATATAAGAAACATTTGTATGTTTTACCCGCAGCGGCCATTTTACCAAAAAAAAAAATTATTAATCATATAGAAATATGCATTTCGGTATATAAAGATGTATATATTAATCTCAATTTTCTGGGAACTTTAGTTCTGTAAATTATTTTTTTAATTAAACTGATTTTAATTATTTTCTACAATAATAATATTATACGATGTCTGAAGAAAATCTAAATATTATACATTTAATGAATGGGTATTAAAAAATCGAAATTCAAAACAAAGAAAAGTCTTTCGAAAATTAATATCATTTACCGGTGTCGAACCTTGAATATTTTACCTCAGTGCCGCGTGCGTTCACACTGCGCTATAACAAAATCACATGACTGTTACGAGCTCGCAATTCCGTGCGTTATATACAGCAACAGCTAACAAAACAAAATTGCTTGCGTTGTCGCCGGTGGTAGCGTGTTGGAAGCTCGTGCACACAAAGTTCTGTGTTCGATTCTCGTTCACGCCACACTGATATGAGAATTATTTTCTTATTTTATTAATAGAATAGATTAGGTGTTAAAGTGTAAAAATATAAATGTATGTATATATGTTGAAATGGGTGGGTAGTAGTGTACAAATTTTTAATTTATTGGTTTACATTC